GTATATATATTCTAAAAATCAATTTTTTAAAAAGACAAAAAGTTAAAAACAGACCAAAATATAGAAGAGGCGCTATAAAAGGTTCAACATCGTCAGTAATTAAGGAAATGTAAGTTAAACCCCAGTGAGGGTACCATTACTCACCCACCAGACTGCTGAAAAGAAAACAATCAGATAATTACAAATGTATAAATATCTCAAATGTTGAGAAAGGGAACAAAGTGAACACTTAACATGCTGTTTGTGAGAGTATAGACTGGTACAACCTCTTTATAAAGCAATTCAGTATTATATAGCAAAACTGAAGATCCACTACTCTACCCTTAAGCAAAAAGCCTATGAAATTCTTGCACACAGACACAGAGAAGCATGGATTTTGAACAGTAATAGCAAAACAGCTTTTAACGGCAAAAAGTAAAATTAAATTTAAAAAAGAAGACTGAAAACACCCCAAATATCCTTTAACAGGAGGATGGATAAACAGTGGTAAAGTCATGTAATGGAATGCTATACAGCAGTAAAAAGTAAATGAACTATAACATAGCAACATAGATGAATCTCATAAATATAACTTGGTGCCCCAAAAAAGTCATGGAATAGACAAAACTAAACAATAGATTACTTATGTATACCTATGTTTATAGTAAAACTATACAGAAAATCAAGGAGCATGGAAAGAGAAAGACAAAATCAGGAAAAAAGACACAATCAGGGCTTCAAATACAATGTATTATTTCTAAAGCATGATAGAGGTACAGAGGCATTTATTTTATTTGTATTCTCTAAATCTGTAGATGTATCAAAAGTACTATTTCACACATACGAAATGATTTCTCATTTAAAAATTAAGTAAATACACAGCTGTGGCAGAAAATATGAAAAATACATAAAACTATGTGAAGAAAATTAATCAATAACCCCATCATCCTGAGACAACTACAGTACTTAAAAGAAATAAATATACTTAAATGGTATGTTTCCTTCTACTCTATTTTTATTTACTTTTTTTTTTACAGCTTTATTGAGGAACTGACTTACAGTAAACTGCATATATCTCAAATATACAATTACATGAGTCAGACATGTGTATACACTGGTGAAAGCATCTTCACAATCAAGAAAATTAATACACCCACGAACATAGCCGCCATCCCCAAAGTTTCCTCATAACCCCTTTTTAATCCATTCCCTTTTCTTTCCTTCCCCTCTTTCCCACCCTCAAGTAACCTTATCTGTTTTCTGTTACTTTAGACTAGTTTGCATTTTCTAGAATTTTTTCAGGTATTGTTTGTGCATAATTTATGCATATGTTTCACTTTAGTAGATATTGCCAAAAAGCTTTAGAAAATGATTTACACTTCTACCAGGAGAGTATGAGAGTTCCAGCTGTTCTACATCCTTATCAACACTTGATTGTTTGCCTTTTCCATTTTTAGCCATTCTTTCCATATCCTAAGGAAAATACACATAAAACTAGTGCCTGAACCACAACAAAAAAATTAAATTCTCAATGAAGACTGAAGTGAAACTCCTAAAGAAATTTTCATCTAAGAGCATTTGCCCTTAAATGCATGATAGCTGAAGCAAAGGCCCTAACCGGTGTATGCCTCATGAATTCTGATTTAGCCCAAATGTCTAATTTCTACGTAAGATTTTTAGAAAAGCCGTTGAGATACACATGAAAAAAAAAAATCACATGACTTAAAAAGTCAGGAGTATAAAAGTACTGGAACTCAGGTGAAACAATCCAACACAGTTTGTTAAAGTGTAACTTTAACACTGATAACAATACCTGAACGCAACAGACCAAAATACCACTAAAACAGTGCTGATAATTTGAATTGGGAGATGAAATAGTTTCCTATAACAGTTCTATTCAATATGCTCAGCTACTTGCTCTCAGCTTCTGCTACTTAAAATGGAGAGAACTATGCTGTGAGATGCACTTTAACATAAAGATTATTCTATTGGCCTTATATTCTTTCTGATCCGACTATCAATTCCCCTCTACCACTCTGTCACTTTACTTCCAAATCTCTGTTTCTCAAAATAAGGATTCTACACTCACTATCTTTATTTCTTCACCCTCTATTTACTCCTCAAAGTCATTCAAATTTGGCTTCCATCCTTATCATTTTACTTAAATTACGTTTGCTGAGATCAGTGACCCCCTCCTAACTACCAAAGCCAATAGACACTTTATCAGCTCCTATCTTTCTGATTCCTCTGACTCATCTGACTCTAAAATAGATTTCTATCCTCATTAAAACCTTTTCCTCTTCTGGCTACTAGGACACCAGTCTTTTTGCTTCCTCCTTGCCTGAATGCTCCTCCTTGGTCTCCTTGGCTGTCTCCACCTATCACTTAATTATTGGTGTTTTCCATCCTTGGTCTTCCTCTCTCCTTACTCTCTACTTACTTAAATGATTTCTTCCACTCTCACAAGATTAACTATCACAAATCTATGGATGCTTACAACATTCACAACTCTGATCCTGACTTCAGAAAATCCTGACACCAATATATCTAACTGCCAACTAGACAACTCTGTCAGATGTCCTAGAAGAATCACAAACTCATTTTCTCTCAACCTGAATTAGTCTCTCAATTTGTTAGTTTCATTCGTGAATACACAATTATAATTCAAGTAAAGCCAATAAAATACAAGAGGAGCTTAATTTTTTTCCTTTTAAGGTTAAAAAAGAGTAACTTCTAATAAAGGTTTTCTCCCTCCAGTTATGAAGATACTACCTCATTAGCAAAACTACAATACAAAACATATGATAGAAGCAAATCCCCTCGAATCCCAGCTCTCAAAGGCAAGCAATATCAGTATTTCCTTCCAGAAAGAGCAATTTTTAAACTATGATAAAGTTAGGTATCAAAATATTAAATTGTTAAACGGGTGGAGGTGTTAACTCCCAGTATTTCCAGGCTATTTATAACAGTACTATCGGGAAAAACAACTCTATTAACTGCCTATCTGCAGTGAGAATCAGTATAATATTTTAAATACGAAAGCAATCCTTTTACATGCTGTATTTTAAATATTCTAAAGGAATCAAAGTTTTTGGCTTGGCATCTATCGTGCCTATACTTGTACGTCCATCTGTGTGCAATATACCAACCGTTCACGCACAGAATTTTCTTTATTTAAAGAAAATCATACCAAAGAAAGAAGAAAAACTGTAAGATCTAGAATCTCAATCTAAAATTAAGCTAGGTAGATGAAATTCAAGTTTTGCAAAAACCAAAGCGAAGTAACATTTACCAGTCCTTCGCCGCTTCAAAAAGTTTCAGGAACACCACAGATAAAGCAATCCGCTAACATGTTCTCATCAGACCCTCCTGGCAAAGGAAGTTCGTTCGCTTCCCTCTTAGCCCAGAGCCCACCTGGGGCGGGTAGTCGGAAGCGCGCGCCCAGGCAGGGAGCCGGGCGAGCGGCCGGCGCCGCGCGGGCGGGGGTCTCCCCTCTGCCGGGCCCGGGGATCCCACCGAGCGGGCTCGGCGGACCCACAGCCCACCTTGCTCCACAGGACGAGTCCCTGCCCTCCAGGCCACGGTGACCGCGGCTGTCGAGGGGCCCAAAATCTCCCTCAGGCCTCCGGGGAGCATGCGTCGCTGAGGAGACTCACGAACAGCCCGCTGGGGCCCTAACAGAGGCGACTTTTTTTTTTTTTTAAGTTAAAGGAGACGAAAACCATACAAAACAGTCGCTCCACACCCAGCGCCGCGAGTCTGGGTGCGAGGGGCTACTTTGCCGCCCGCGCCGGGCAGCGACAGCTCGGGGCTCGCCACGCTGCGCGCCCGGGAAAGCGCCCCTGGCCGCACACCTGAGCACCCCACGCCGGCTCACTTCCCCGCCGCGGCCCCGGCGGTCTCCGCGCGCGGCTCTGGGGGAAGGCCCGCCTCACACGGAGCTGAGGAGGCGCGGCGCGGCCACGGCCGGTTACCTGCTCCAGGCAGTGGGCTCTCTGGCGTCGCCGGCCAGCGGGAACCGTGATTCCCGTCACCTCGCGCGGCCGCGTCTTCAGGCCCCGCCCCCATCCCCAGATCCGCCCCGCCCTTTCCCCAGGTCCGCCCCGCCCTCTTCCCAGGTCTACCCTGCGCGTCAGGAGGTAGAAGTCAAGGCACGGGACGGGGCGGGCGGGGCCTCCCGCGCGTGTACCTGAGCGCGGTGCGCGTGCGCACTCGACTCCTCCCCTCTCCTTTCCCACCGCAGCTCTCAGCTGGTCGCTCTGAAAGGGTCTTAAATGAAGGCAGGTTGAGTTTGGAGTGTGTTGGGGGATCGAAGGGAAATAGAAGAGGGGTATAGAGGGAAAGCCATTGGCCTGATGAACCTCTGAGTAGGGAAGAAAGGAGCAGTCTCTCTTGCCAGAAGATATTTCTGCTCCCTTTTCTTGGAAACAGAGGACCTTTTCTTAGATGTGTTACTGGTCTTTAGTGTTTATATCCTAATTATAAAGTCTGAGAATCAGCTCACAACGCTTCACTTTTGTGTCCTTACTACTGCCTTGCCAGCAGCAGGTATACTGGAAAGAGTCCCAAAGTTATCCACTACAACTCCTCACCCCCATCTTTCCTGGAATTCCCTCTAGCACTCTGGCAAGGAGGTGGCTGGCCCTTTGCTTTTGTGCCTTCCATGCTGGAAATCTCAACACTGTACCTGGAAAGTTGTTGATGAATTCCTAGATTATCTGTTGATGAATGGCTCAGCTTTAGAAAGGCTGGATTGTAAACTGAAGTAAAAGTAATACTTTTCTTCCTGGAGAGCAGTCTTTCCCAAAGTGGATTCTTTTCATCTCCAGGCCCTAGAGATGCTGGAGTGGGAGTAGAGGGTGGGAGTAGACCCCCAAAACAAATTATTCTGGGAAAAGAGACACAATATAGTTGCTCTCCTTGAGTTTACAAGGCATTTAAGTTCTAAGAACGGTGTTTTACTTTGTATCATTCTGTATTTCTCAAATTTATTTGACCTGAAAAATGGCAGAATATCTCACCCCAAAACATGCCACGCTTTGGCATGAAGATTATTTTGAGTTTGCACTTGAAAAACAGCAGATGTAAGACGCACAATCTGAACTTCCTTTTTCTTCCTGAAAGCAGGCGATAAAACTCCCAGGTGAAAGGTGTCCTCCCTGTACCATGAGAAAAGAAACATTCTTATCACCAGAGATGGGAGTCAAGGATGAGGGAAATCTATCAAACAAACCTTGTTAAACTAACCCTTATCTTTATGGCCGCTTCTCCACTGTTAATGGCCCTAGCTTAAGCCCCTTTGTCTTGTCCCATTTTCACTATTTACTACTCTTTGTCCAAATTAGTATATAAGTGCAGCTCTAACTGCTTCTTTGAGTCTTCATTTTCCTGTGGGTGCTCCTATATACACGTAAAAAAATCTGTATGCTTTGCTCCTGTTACTGAATTTAATTCTCAGTTCCAGGCAGAAACCCTAAGAGGGTCAAGTTTTGCCTCCCCTCTGGATCATACAGCTCTCTCCTTGAGAAACGCCACTTACCAGTCTGGGGCATTAATGTTTCATGAAACACACTTTGATAAACACTGCTTTAAAGTCCTAGTACATTCACCTTCAATAATTTTTCACTCTATTACAAATGTTTGCAAAGTTCTGTACTGTTTACACAAAGCTCTCACGTGAGTCATTTCATTTAATCCCAACAATTGTGATATAACTGTTATTATCCTCGTTTTACAGTTGAAAATATTGAGGGTCAAACAAACAGTGGTTGCCCAAGTGTAGAATCAAGATTGACTCTGGACTTCAGACTCCAAGGCTTTTAAAATATATATTATATAAAATATATAGAGGAGATGCTCTATTTAAGGGTCAGATGACTCTGTGTGTGTGTGTGTGTGTGTGTGTGTGTTCTGTGTGTGAGACATATATATGTGTGTATATGTATATGTATGTGTGTGTGTGTGTGTGTGTATATATACACACACATACATACTGTCTTTCTATTTCTCTCATTTGACCCTTAAGTAGAACACACCCTTGGTTGGAAACCTCTAGATTCATGAGTTACTTCCCCAGGGCAAGAACCTTTACCTATCTTTTACTCCCTGCAGCACTTGACATCATAGTGTAGGGCACAAAAGTGTCATTCAAGTGTGCTGGATAAACAAAAAGTGAATAAAGTTTCAATGGTACTCAGTGAACTGGACTGAGTGCTTTGTTCCCTGACTGAACAACCTTAACAACCTCCTCACTGATGCAGAAGTCCCAAGAACAAGAATTCCCTGAATTGTTCCTAATTTTCTTCCATCTTCCATCTAAAAAGTCTTCCATAGAAGAATCTACTCGGCTAATAGATATGCTTCTTTGAGAACAATGAAACCACTTCCTATGTTTTCTTTGAAATGAGCCTCCTTCCTGTTCCACTTTCACAGACAAGGCTGCATTAATATGAATGTAGGATACCGTATACCTTTCTCTGTGCTCTTGTGTTCAACCTTCTCTCATAGAATGATGGTGGTTGCAACATTCTGAGTGGGTTTTTTGTTTGTTTCTTAATGTTAAACATTCATGTTTTTAACGTTTAATGTGATATTATTGGAGGCAGATCTAAGGAGAAAGAAAGATTTGGGTTGATGTGGATAACACTGCTGCTTAGATTTTGCTGTACATATTATTTCACTTGGTAGAGACAAATTACTTAATCCCTGTCCTAATCCCTTTCCATTCTTCCTTCATTTAGTGCCATTTATAAATGCTTTGTGACTCAGTCCAGCCCTGCCTCTCCAACCTCACCTCCAGCTACCTCCCACCACACACTTTTGACCTTATGAATTAATTGCAATTCCTTAAGTTGCCAAATTTGCACTATTGTTCCCTTTACCTCCATCTTATGGGTATCAACTGGCAAATTCATGTCATCAGCTGCAGTATCACCTCTTCTGGAGGATGAAACTCCACAACATCCTTCCCAGATTAGGTCCCCTTGCTCAGCACTCCCACCATAATCCATCCATGTCTCTATCAAGGCAACTACATAATAACTGTGAGTACTGGCTTTTTTTTTTACCCCCTCTTCCTACTAAACTCATTCCATGTGAGTTACCAATAAATTCTACCTGTTTCCCGAACACATACCAGAGCACCTGACACATAGCAGCACTCAGATATTTGTTGAATGAATGAAAAACCAATCTTTAAAAGAATATGAATTCCTAGAGTGCTTGTGAAATAATTTCACAAATATAAATGGCCCTATGAACACAGTAGGGGTGGCATACAGATTTTTCTGCTTCCCTCCAAATTATTTTCTTCTCATTTTCTGTCTTAGAAAAACATAACAGCAGAAACCTATACATGGTCATTCATTCATTCATTTATTCACTGTTCAGCAAACATTTTTGAATGCCTATGGTATATCAGGTACAGACCTAAGCACCTGCTTCAAGGAGAAAGTGGCATTTCAGCAGAATCTTGGATGTTCACCAAACATTAATTCCTTTTCCTGGCCTCAAAGCTAAACTACTTTGTTTATTCCCCTTGCAACTAGGTAAGGCCACGTGACCAGTTCTCATCAATGGAATCTGAGCATAAGTAGAGTTTCACTTCCGGACCTATACAGTTAAAAACTGAGAGCCTCTCTCCCTCTTCCCATCCCTTGACCATTTTGGACCACTGCTAAATCATTGCTAACCATTGCTAAAGCTAATGCTGCAACCAGATGGAAGGGGTCCTGGTTCCTGATTGATTTCATGGAACAAAGCTTCACTCACCACCTACTAATATTGATTGGATTGTGATGTAGGTGAAAAACAAACTTTTTTGTGTGTAAACTACTGATATTGGGGGATTTTTTTCCCCCAGCAGCTAGCTTTACTTACCCTGATTAACATTGTTATAAGTGATAACATATAGACTACATAAAACACTAGAAAAACGTATTATCCTGTTCTAGGCACTGCATGGGAAACATGGAAACATGAAAAGTAATCAAAGAAAATATTAAGGTCATAGAGACTTCAAGTTTATCTTTATGGATACACAGCTCTTTTTTTCTCTCACTCAGTTGGCCACCTGCTCTGAATGCTGACACCTTGACCTGAAAACAAGCATAGAGTCACCATCACATCATCTTCATCATCTTTATCAGCCCTTGTCAGCCTCATTCATACCCTTGGAAGGGTTCCTCTGTGAGCCTCAGAAGGTCCAGAGTGACTCAAAGTACTGAGGAGTGGTGGAAGAAGGGAGGACAAAGACAGGCTGTGAATATCTTGAATATCTTACCAAGGAGTTTGTAGATTAATCTACAGGACATATAGTTGAATAAACTAGGGACTGTGTGTGGTGGGATGAGTTTTTTCTTTTTTTTTTTTCCTCCTTCTCCCATCCTCTTCTTTCCTGGGTAACTGGTACTTACTAAGGCTAAGGTAACAGTGGGAAAATGGCTGGTCATAGATGCTTCACCAAGAGACCTAATGATGATGATGTGCCCCACCCCACAACACTTCCCTTCTCCAACCCCATCAATCAATGAAACTTCATCTCACCAAAAGGCTGACAGTTTCATGAAGGCCTAAACGAAAAATATTCAGCCCCCAAGGTGGGAGGCAATAGCACTGGTGGAATTAAAGGAAGATTATAAAAGAAGAAAGAAAAAAAGAGAGGATTCAGCAGGAAGAAAAAAAGAGGGTGTTCTCCCAACTGCAAGATCAATTCACCCAGGCTGGGAAGCTCATCCAAAGAGGATGAGAGACACTTGGAGCACATCGTGTGAAATTGCCTTAGGATTCCAAAACAAAGCCCCCCAGACTCACTGAATAAAGCACAGAAACATCTAAATCCCTACTTCCTGTGAATTCTGTGCAGATTGGAATGACTCAAATCTGAAGTAAATAACTCTGCATTCTTCTAGGGTCCATGTGCAAGGGTTTAAACTGTATCAACTTGCTTGAGCTACAAGCACAGGAACTACATTTCCCAAAACTCCTTTCCCTCTATGGTTCAATGCTAGATTGATCAAAATTTGGGGCAAGATTTGGAAGGTAGAAGCGAAGTAGCTATTACTCTCTGAAGATCCTCATGATTGCCAGTAGAATGAGATGGAAGGAACAGTGTTCAATTTCTGAGCTTAGGCCCGAAGAGGCCTCATGTTTCTGCTTCCCCTCTTGTGCTTCTGCCTCTGCCATGAGAAGATTTTGTCTGGGCCAGCCAGCTGGTCCAAGGAAGATGAGGGACATGCAGCAGAGCCATCCCAGATAAGCTCAGACTAGATGAGCTAATCCCTAGCTAACCAGCAGACAGGTGAGAAATAATAGATAATTGTCATTTTATGCCATGGCATTTGAGGACTATTTGTTACACAGTAATAACTGTCTGACATACCCTCCAACCATGATTTTGTGGGATAGGGTGGAGGAGGTGTTCTTACCCCACATGGCCCCAGAGTTCCAGACCAGTGTGCCCAGGATTTCCCCTTTAAGTCACCAGGGGTCACCAACTGGGCCAATGGTAAGTTAGAGGATTCAGCTTCCCACACTCGGTAAGATCCTGTTTGACTTTTTCTGTCCTTTTGGTTAGATGTAAAAATCTAAATATTTGTCACAGCAGAGGAGAGAAAAAATTTTAAACTCTTCTGAAGACTACTTCTGAATATTAGTGGTTGTTTACAAATATCAACTCAAAATCACTATGTGAAATAAAATTGAAAACTATCGTTTGTGATTTTTCTTTCACCAGAGTTTTAGGAAAACTCACACGCCCAGCAAAATCCCCAGGCAGCTCAGGATGCCAAGGCTTTCTTCCCTTCTCTTTAAATCTGCTCCAAGTCCATAAGGAGAATTCATGAATAAATGTGCTTGGCAGATGAGCCAAAAAAAGCAAAGACATATTTTTATGACAATTTCATCTTAATTTGTTAGTTTGAAGTCTTTAAATGAATTCGAAGCATGGTGGGGGTGGGGGTGGGGGTGGGGGTCTCAAAACACTTTACAATCCCATTTTTTTCCGACATTCCTTCTTTCCCCACCACTCCCTGCCTCTCACTAGCCTCCCCCACCCTAGTTTATGAGGGGACTGATGATGTTGGGAGATTTTTTTCTGAGGAAATGTGGGAGGTCTGCAATCCATTTCCTACTTGATGTGGGCTTCATTTACCAGAAGGAAAAACAACAACAATGCAAACATCCTTCCAGCACAGCTGGACAGCCGCTCCACACACTGGCTTGTAAAAAGCTAGCATATCACAAGGTCTGTGAAGACCAGTGAAGCCTGCCCTTCCATTCCTGAAAAACATCCCCTCAGGAAACAATTTGGCGTTCCCTGCAAAACATGAACTTGCTTGGCAGTCTGACCAAATCATCACCTCTGTTCATCTCATATCACTTGTCTGATTAATAACAATAAGTAATCCAAGAGCAGAGTGAATACTATTTTGATAGGAAAGGAGGCAGGGAGAGATAAACAGTGCCCTCACCCAGCAAACACATGTGCACACACGCCCACCCTGCCCCCACCCCCAAACATAGAAAGCCACTTTAAAAATGTTGAGAAATATAAAGTGCCTCAATCAAAACCACTCTACATTACTGGGAACAGGGTTGGAAATTACTTCCCTTCTCCCATCCAAATATGTTTGGAATGATAATAGCTGCCATTCTTCATTGACCTGTCACGTGCCAAGAACTGCCTTAATGGTTCAAATACATTTACTTATTTTAATTCTTGCAGAAACCCTGCAGAGAAGGTATCTAAACTTTACACAAAAGTAACATTTCCAAAATTACAAAGAAGTGAACAAGGAGCCAGGATTTGAAACCAAGGTTGTGTGTGATGCTAAAAATCAAGCTTATTATATTAAATCACAGGCTTGGGTAGTAAAGTGTGAAGCCCAGACGTAGGAGTTGTTTTTACGTGAACGCAAGTCATTACTCAAGGCCCATTGAAACTGCCATCTCATCTAACAGTTCTTGACTTATTCTAGACAAAGTTCTGATGGTTACAAGTTACAGAAACCCACTCAAACTCATTCCAGGGAAAGACGGAGGATGGTATTCTAGTCCTGGCCCTAACCTGGGAACATAAAGGAATTCTGATTTGAACAGGCAGGGCTCAGAAAAGGCAGGACCTGAGGCAGCCCAGGCCAGCGTCAGCCTCTCACCTTAAAGAGACAACTTCTCTCTCACACCTGCACATCCCACCCAGCCTCTCTGAGTCTCCAGTCTGTCAAAGCTGCAGTCTACACTCCGTTCCACGATGGCTTCCTTGATGGCACATCCCCTAGGCCTTTGAGCTCCCGACCTACCACCTATGACGAGTAACTGCTCCTCCTCGTACAGGTTCCTAAGAGAGGAATCTGTGAGCTCAGCTCATGTTTTGCAGCCAGTCTACACACAAGGCACAGGTTGTTGGCTGGTCTATGTTGGGCACCCCTGGGTCAAATGTTCACCTGGTCCAGTCAGAGGTGACTGGGGAAGGGAGGACCAAGTGCTTTGGGGCTGCACCTCCTGGGTGGGAGCTGTGCCCTGAAATCCAGTAAATGCTCAGCTCACCTTCACTCCCTTTTTCTTTAAAATGCTGCTTTACATACCTGGCTTAGCATTTAATTTTAGGTAGCCTCCTGCTGTCCTTTAGCCTTTCCAATCGTCTTCTAGAGCCTTCTATTTATTTTCTAGGTTTCTGGAGAACCACATCTTACCGTCATTATATCTGCGATGCCTAGCCAAGTGCTAAGTGGACACTTAAAAATGACTCATTACATTAGAATTCATTGTGGGGCAGAGCAATGCAGTGGATCAGGAAGAATTTCTTTATTCCTTCCTTTGCCCACAAAAAGACAATCAGAACTAGAAAGAGAATATCACATGTGACCCCAAGTCTTTAACCTCACTGGCTTAGCTGCAGCATATGTGGACAAGGAAAATAATTTGACCCTTTAACACACAAACTCAAAATTCCTCCCAAATCTTACTAAGAGAGGCATCCAGGCCAATAGCTCTCAACCTGGAGTAATGTTCCCACAGACTATAACCTTGCTCTGAATCCATCCTTTTGTCCATTTAAAGAAGTCTGCTAGAATTAAAATAAACGACTCTCATGCTATTATAATGGTAAGCCTGCTCTGGATTGTAAAAGAAAAAAAGTGATCAAAAATCTAGGTATTAAATTACTAGTAACTAATTACTAGTAAACACATTAAAATCCTCATTGTGATTGAGAGTTGTTAATCTATGACATTCTGCTGCCCGCAGCTGAGATGACACTAACGGTATCAACCAGGATGTTTTCTGCCATTAACAACAGAAACCTCAACTCAAATAGTCACAAAAATAAGGAAACATGTTAACTGGTGAGGTGGCTTAAATCATGCTTACAATTCTCTGAAATTCTTCTCATCAAGGTAGGGAGTCTATGTTCTCTCTCCTGTGGCTAGGGTAACCATAGTGACTGGTTGACCAAGAGAGACTGTGGAAATGACAGAATGTGGAAATAACAGAATGTGACATCCAAGGCTGGGTCATAAAATGCATTACAATTTCTGCTTGGTTCTCACTGGTTTCTTACTCTTGGAATCCAGCCACCATACTCTGCGGAAGCCCACGCAGTTTGTGGAGAGACTCACATGGAGAGGCCCACATGAAAAGGAACCAAGGGCCATGACTCTCAACTCTGACTGAGCCAGCCCCAACTCTCCAGCTATGTGGGTGAGCCATCTTGGAAGGGGACCCTCCAGCCCCTAGTGGAGCTGCCCCAGCTAACACCTCCAGGAGCAGAGACAAGCCTTCCCCACTGGGCCCAGTCCATACTGCAGATCCATGAACTGAATAATAATAACATGTTATTGTTTTAAGTCACTAAGTTTGGGGAAGTTTTGTTATACAACAATAGCTTAAAAAGGAAGCCCAAAGGTCAACCAGATTTCAGAGTCATTGATTCAGGAATTCAATCATTTATCATTGAATGTTTTTCTTTCCTTTGCTCTGTTCTAAATTATGTGAGCTTCATCCTAAATCTAGTGGTGTCATGTTTCTAGAATGGCAGCTGGGGACAATTAGACCTTCCTCTTTCAATTCAGGTGAGGGGGATACAATGGATTTCCCTGGACTATTCTTGAGAGAGAAACTTTTCCAGAAGCTGGCAAACCTATCCTCACATCTCTTCATCAGGACTGAGTCACATGCTCACTCATGAACCAATAACTGGCAGAGAGGATGAGATAATTTTGACTAATCAGGACTGCCCCTTAAGCTGAGATGAATTCCCCAAATCACATTGCTGCCATTTATGTGATAGACTGGATGTTGGGAAAGCCACTTCTAAGACATTTGAAAAGAGGAAAATGGGAAAACCCCAGGTTGTGAGCAGCCTGGGGTTACGACTAGAAGGGTCACAGGATTGAGACTGTTCTGAGTAAGCTATACAGGATCTAGCTTTGTACAGGCTATGAAGGAGATAAAGGCTATTTTCAAAACCCTTGACTCTGGTCCTTTCTCTTACCCCCTTCTCTGGCATCTCCCATTTTAATCACCTGTCTCATCTTCATCAGCCGCCTGCATGTTACACTTGCTCTCTGGCAAATGTCAGCCAAGTGGGGGAAAAATGCACTATACAACTTCTGATAATTTTATTCTATTTTCTCTATGAAAAATAACCCTCTGACATGGGCAAGAGTTGGTATCATTTTTCCCATTTTTGCTGATGAAAATTAAGGCTTTACGGTGTGGGCAGGTGACTTCTCCCTGGATCTGTCTGCTCACATGAAAGATGACTGGAGTAGACTAGAAGATTAATATCCTTTCTAGCTCCAGAGTTTCTGCATCCTGCCTCCTTTTGTCCTCAAGATGACTACAGCCATTTCCGAAAATTGGGGCAGTTTTCACAATCATGCTCTATGCTTTGTTCTTCTTCTTAGTCACCGTATCCCCATCCTTCACTAGTTTGCTTTCACTGCTCTGGGTCATTGCCAAATTCTGCCTTCCTTCTTCACTTCCAAGACTGGCCAAAAGTCAGGAGGATTCAACTTTTCTACAGTTTTCCCGCTCATACCTTTTGAAATTGTGCCGACTCCTTTTAAACACAGCCCAGCATTGTGAAGGAGTTAAGCAAATATTTCAGTTCCCAAAATTGAATAGGATAGTTCTGGAAAAAAATAATTTGTGGATTAAGTTTAGCATGTGCAGAGCAGACATCTGTTCATAATACGATCACAAGAACCATTGTTCTTCATGAGGACCACTACAAATTTGTACTTCTAAAAGATGCTGCTATATCTTCCCATGATTTCACTCCCCTAATCAGAGTTGATTGGTTCACAAGAAGGCATCTGACCCAAGAAGCGTCAATCAGAATCCTTCTCTAGAATTTTTTCCCCAAAGTATAGTTATAAAAGAATAGTCAGTCTTCCTTTTAGCAATAGAAGAACTTTTGGTGGCCATGTCTACTAGGTAGACGAAGTCAGTAAATAATAAAGGAGAGTGAAGTCGATATGCTAAGAGCAGAAAAGATAAGAGATGGTGAAAGAGGTTCCAAAGGCATTAGATTTCTCAGTTCCATTTGGTCCTGAGGGACGATGCACTCTGTTGTTCCCATTGTATTAGTACCTAAGCCATACCAGCTATAAACCCATAAATTGCATCTTTTGCCTAACTTAATACATGTTTAATTTCTGTCACTTGAACACAAGAGATCCGATATGAGCTCTGAAAAAAAAACTAGGTCCTTATAAGATTCTTTGGAATTGGATCTTTGGCATTTCCATTCCATTGTGATTTGCATACATTTTCATTTGCTTTAAGTGCTTGCCTCTTAGTATCTGTTTATGGCACGGAATACTGGAAAAAATCTGGTGTTTGGAGACAGAAAATCTGAGTTTAAATTCTGGCTTTAATACTTTTTTTGTGACAGTGGAAGGGCCTCCCTGAGCCTCAATCTCTTTTCTAGAAAGTGAGGGTAATAATAATCTTTGCCCTAGCAACCTCTTGGGGTCATTATGATGATCAAAATAAGAAAATGGGGAGAGACAGGGCCATACTCATCTTTGCCCTCCTAAAGTCCACCACAAGGTGAGGAGCAGTGTGTGGATACTGAGCAAATATTTGATGAATGAAAGAAAGAAATGAAAGCATTTTAAACACTTCAAAGCACTATTTAAACGTGAATTAATATGACTAAGACCACTTCACAACACCAGAGTGTATATATAAATATTTTTGTTGGCAAACTGAGTTGATCTTGGGCTGAATGACAATTTCAGTGTAATGAACAAAGCTTCCTATAAACAAGATGTGAAGTGAATGGAACTTTTGTCCACCACCCCTCCGTTCTCTCTTTGATTATGCTCCTTCTGTTTGGTCCAGACAATGTGTCAGAGTGTCTCTAGTCCCAGATTCTAAAAGTAGCCAATGCTCTGCAGCTGCTGGCTGCTGTTGCAGAAGCATCAAGTTGAGGTGAAAAGAGGTTATTAACATGATCTAAGGCCCTTTCACTTACAATTAGCACATAAACTTACTTCTCCCTCTAAAAGCATCAATACAGCTAAGGCTCCCACAAAACTCTCAGGATGCAACTGCCCACTTGTGATCCTTTTTTCCCTTCCCAAGTGCCAATGTTAAAACTATACAAAGAAGACACAAGGACTCAAGAAGCACAGTTGCCCAGGGCCATTCAGTTTAGGGATGAACAGATCTGCACATTGTATTATAATACAGCAAAGTACAGCCACCAAAGTTTATAACAGTAATTCTGAATCATTATCAAGTAAAACTTTACACGTGGCATAGGCAGGCTACCGAGACAAGAAACTGGTCAATACTTCACTTTTAAAATCCACCAAAATGACTAAAATTATTCTAAAGTTTTAATGCTTCAAAAAGTATGTTCTGAACGATCTGAAACATATTTTCCAAAATGAGTCATTTTCCAACTATTTAAAAGAGTCTTAGTTTTCAGGTATCACTGCTCCTTCGAAGGTATTGTAAGTTAACTGTAGGTACTAGGTGCCCATAACATAAAGATCTCAACCCTTAACAATGTGCAGTAGGTGAAAATGGACAATCTTCCAATAGTAAGAAGTATCTTCATTTGAGATAAAAATGCTTCGCCTCACTAACCTTGACTTTTTTAATTTATAAGGGCAATTGTCTTTGACAAAATTTTCTACAGCAAAGGTGGTTGAAAAAAAAGAATTATCATGGGCTTTGGGCTTTTTTTTTATCCCCACCAGTAGATCACTGACTTGTTAATTGTTTGAAACAAATTGTCTCCCACTTTCTTACCTTAATAGATATAATATGTAAGCCATACAGAAGAAACACACATTTGCAGAAGTGAGAGGGCCAGAAGGACTGGGTGAAAGAAGGGAGGAAGAAGGGTAGAAATTGAGCACAGAGGAGTATAGGGTGGGGTTACGGGGTAAAGGAGATAGTGTGGGCCATTGTAAAGACATTCCCTTTTACTCTGAATAGACTGAGAAGCCATTGGAGAATTTGGAGTAGAGGAATGATATGAACTGACTTAATGTTTATATACATCTCTCCAGTTGTTGGGTTGAGGACAGACTGTAGGGGGCAGGAGGAAAGCTGGAAACTGAGAAACTGCTAGTTGATAGACAAGATACAGATAAGGAGGAGGGTAGCTGGGACAGGGTGGTCATATGGTAGTGGTGAAGGTGTGAGAATTCAATGGTGTAACACATGCACAGAAAACAACATAATGATGGGCACAGTTGGTCCCCAGTAAATGCTGGCTGGTATTAAGCAAGAATTAGTATTACAATATTCTGAACCCAAAAACTCATCCATAAATGGTTGGTTGATTGACTGACAGAGCCAGGTGAGCGATTACAAATCAAAGAGTCAATATCAGGCTTAGAAAAGGAAACTTTTAAAACATTTCTGGATAGATCAACCAAAATGAACTGGAATTGAATCTAACCTAAAGAGTTCATGCTCCCCCTGATTAAACTGTCTACTTGGATTGTTTTTTAAAATTACACACACACACACAATCTGTGGTCAAAAGGGTTGTTGAATTGTTGCAATTGCCCAGAATCCATCCTGACCTTGCAGCACTCCTAGATATTAAAAATCCTTTCCATGGTCTTATATTTTTTGGTTTAACAAGCACAAGAGGCCATGAACTCCAATATCTGAAGCAAACGTGTTAAACATCTGGGATCTGGCGCAAGTTTTTCCTGTGGGATGCATTGTTTGTGCAAACTTTTATTGAATTAAGAAAAAAAAAGTAAGGACTGAGTTTCAAAATATTCGTGTAACCTAGTAAGACTATTTCTCTGAAGCCCGAGTCAAAATACAGCGTTCTTCAAACGCTGTAATAAACTTAATTTAAAATCAGGCTAGAAACCAGTTCTTGAAACACAGAGCAGTGACCGTAGGGAATCTAGCTGACGTAGCCAGAGCTCTCGCTCCAGCAAGAAGATGGCTAGTCTAAATTAAGTGGATTTTTCCAGGCTAAAGGCTGCAGCTCACAACCACTCAAAGAAAGGCCGTGGCATTTGCAGGAAGGGCACTGGTCTGCGGTTTCGGGCAAGCTCTGTCACTTAAACACAGATGATCTTAGGCAATTTACTTTACCTCTAGGTTTGATTTTCCTTATTTCCTATAAAAAGTAGAAAGAACAGCTGCCCCACGGGTATTGGAAATTTACAAGTGGAAAAAAGTAGAATAATAAGGGTGACAGAATGTTTAAAAGCACTATCCATATAGACACATGGGAGAAGAAGGAATACAAAGAGGGAGGAGGAGGAAATAGGATGTAAGAGATGATTATTAAATTATGGGAGAAATCAAACAAGCTACACAAAGCTTTTCAAGAAGGAAAGCCAAGGCTGGTCTTCTGGAGTGTTCTTTAGGACAGACTTGTATTCTTTTAGTAACTCCCCAAAGTGCCCAGGGCAGCATCCACTGACTGAGAGGGACACACCCCTCTCAAATTTCACAATCCATTCCCTGAGCGTTCAAAGGAGTCAGGTGAGGGGAAAGGCCGACAGTCTAGCCGTTGTAAGGAAGCAGAGAAGTTTGTTTTCTCAAAAGGGGACAGGAAGAGTTTTTAAAATTCACATCTCCTTCCTAAGAGGGGCTGCTAGTCCCTGCAAAGTGTTTTTGTGCAGCTGAGCATCTGGCGGGGTCTTGGCCTGAATGGTGGACCAGAAGCTGAGTGTGAGAGTAGGAGCCCTGCATCAGAGAGCGAGCTGAATTCGGAGTTTGTGGACTTCATAGGCAGGAGGGGTGGGGAGGCCAGTTGAGCACAGAAGAGGAAGGATGGGGAGTGGCGGAAGGAGCCAGTGAAACAGCAAGAATGGAGAGCCGAAATGTAAATTCCTCTCTGCCCCACCCTCCACTCTCAAAGCCTCAGTGAAGTTGACTATATACTGAAATGAAGATGGTGTTTGTGTTAGTTTCCCAAGACCTCTGTAACAAAGTACCACAAACTGGGTGGCTTAGAACAGCAGAAATGTATTCTCTCCCAATTCTGGAGGCTAGAATTCCAAAATCAAGGTGTCCGCAGGAGCATGCCCTCTCGGGAGGCTCTAGGGAAGAATGCTTCCTTGCCTCCCTCCGAGCTTCTGGTGACTCCTGGAAATCTTTGGCATTTCTTGGCTTCTATCTACATCACTCCAACTCTGCTTCCATCTTCACAGGGCCTTTTTCTCTCTGTATATATTTGATATGCCCTCTCCTCTTCCTGTAAGCACATCAGTCATTGGATTCGGGGCTCACCCTATTGCAGTATGACCTCATCTTAATTTGACTGAGCACATATGCAAAGACCCTATTTCCAAGTAAGTTCAACTCTGATATTCTGGGCAGGCGTGAATATGAGGGGTGGAGGGCACTATTTAATCTACTACAGTGTCATTTCATCTTGTTTCTGTGGAAATCAAGAGAAAGGCAGAGTTTCATATTAGAATCAACTGACAAAGGACTGAAGGTGGCAGTGGCCATGTTGGTGGTGAAATGGCCTATGAGCCAAACGAATTCAAAAGAAGTTCAAAGTTTGGGGTCAGAAGTGACCACCTCCCATGGGAATATTCAGAAATCTGGAAAGGTTTTAGAATTCCACAGGGCATGGAATGAGGCGTTCAAGGCAGTACTATCTGGATCTCATGGGCCAAGAGACCA